GAAGAGATGAATTAGTGGCGATATATACACGCCTTTGTAAGTAGACGGTAAGGAAATGTAACTTGCACACTACTGGTTCAGATGGATTCAGTACCCGAAATGAACAGCTTACCATTCACGTTTTATAACCATCTGCCCCAGTAGAATTCCTTCGATTGTTTTTATATATTAACTTTGCCAATGTTCTACAGTACCGCTTTACTGAAAATAATTTTTCTTGTGCATTTGGAGCAGACCTTTCACGGGACTCCGAAATATGAATTAACCACCTTGGTTCAATATTTACTTGTTCATTGCTCTGTCACCTTCATTGACCCACCCGCGGACATCAAACACATTTACAAATTGCTTCGTAGTGCATCTTCCAGACCATTATTTTAGCGAGGACAGAGTGGGATCGTTTAATTGCGCAAAATATTTCGTTTCAGCACCGGATCAAAAGTGCACGCATACACACGCACACACACCTGTGCAAGTGTGCCTTTGTCACATGACAACGATAGGGTTGGCTTTTGTTCGCTTTGATACGTCGCTGGTGGGATAAACACGAACTATGGCAACTAGACAGTCTCCAAAACACGTCGGTGCATGCACGTATCGATCGGTTCACGGCCAATCGATGGGTTGGTACCTAACCAATGTGGTATGTTCTTTGGATAAACGTTTACGTGGAAAAATGTGTATTGATTTACGCTTTCGATCGATTGATTTTTTTACATTGTAACTAACAAACAGTGCCTATGAGCTGTCGTTTGAAAAGGCCTTTCTATGTCTGCATTTTTGATCAGAATAGGTAGAATTACTTTCAAACGTATTGGACAAACAATGTTCAAGTAGAAGAGAATAAAATGCGGAAGAGGGAGGCGGATCGTTTCACTTTTACCTCAGGAAATGTGATATGTGTGCCCGAACATATTTGGGTGTTCATCTATCTGTTATTCAGTTAGTAAATTCGGTGAACCCTAATCGAACAGCGACTCATAGGATTTATTCAGTTTTGCTCTCCAAGCAATGCGGGAGTTCAATACCCATGAAAAATCATCGCTCTAATGTGTGACCGCCGATCACATGTATCTTTTACGAACATATTGCTATTTATTTAACCAACTAATTATGCCAAGAATACCTCTTCGTGTAATCAATAATTATAATACTGTTATCAGTTATGAAGGCTTACGTAACCCGTTCTCATCTGAGCAATAGGAATAGAGATAAACGTATTCCTATCTCACTCCTTTACTATAAGTATTTGACCTCGATTGTTTAACTCCAATACAACACCCTCCC